GCTAGACTCATCCTCATTTTGCAGATGAGGAAAATGAGTCAGAGGTTAAGTGACTTGCTCAGGGACACACAGCAAGGAATAACAGATAGTATGGTAGCTAACATTTATATACTGCTTACTATATGCCAAGCCCTTTACACTTATTTCATTTGATCCTCACAACAATCCTGGGAGTAGGCACCATTATTATCCCCATTTTAACCACAGGGAAACTTGAAATAGCAGTGAAGTGACTTGCCTAGGGTCACACAGCTAGGAAGTGTCTGATTCCATATTTGAACTCAGGTCTTCCCCACTCTAGACCCAGCACTCTATCCGCCAGCACTACTGTGTGCCAGACACTGGCCTAGGGGCTGAGGATACCAGGAACCCCTACCCTCCCCCCACAAAGTATCTGCCTGTCAAGGAGCTCAGCTCAGAGTCTAAAGGGAGAGGGAGACAATGTGCAAGCAACTATGTGCAAACACAGTATATAAAACTGGAGGTTAGCATTATGGAGGATCAAGAGGCTTCCTGGAGAATTTGGGGTTTTAGTTGGGACTTGGAAGGAAGCAAGTGGTCAGGAAGTAAATTTGGCATGATAGCCAATCTTCAACCCTCCCCAAATTCTCCCTGCCCCTTCATTTATTAAGCTCATCCTTTGTGTCTTGTTTGTGGTAGAGCCTTCTAGGCTTGTATTGGTCTGGTCAGCCATAGCAGGACGAGCTGTACCTTGACCTCAACCTAGTAATGTCATTTTAGTCCTCTTTCAGAACAAGGGACAATAACCAATCTGATAGGACCCACCACTGGAAATACACTTGAGATTCACTTTGTTGATAACATAACTGGTATTAAAGAGATTTAGGGTCAAATCCCACCTTTGTTACTTAACCCCCCTGGGCTTTGGTTTGCTCACCTGTAAAATAAAGGGGTTGGAATGGAAGGTCTCTAAGGTCTGTGATCCTCTAAGTTAGGAAGACTTCAGTCAGACTTCCCTTGAAGGAGTACTGGTTGTGTGACCTTGGGCAAGACTCAGTGTCCCAAACTGCTACTCCCTAAGACAGATGTTCTTAACCTTTTGTGTGAGTGTCATGAACCCCTTTGGCAGTGTGGTAAAGCCTATGAATTCCTTCTCAGAATGCTTTTAAGTGCATGAAGTCAAATAGCATAGATGATCAACAAAGTAATTATGTTGAAATAGAACTGTCAGAATATCTTTTCAAAGCAAGTTCTTGTACTGAGGAGAGAACTCCTGTGCTATGACTTTTGGTTGGGTGAAGTCAACAACAAGCATTTAATTAAGCACCTACAATGTGTTAGGCACTGTGCTAAGCCCTGGGGATCAAAGAAATGGCAAGAGATGAAAAAATATGGGGTGCTTCAAGGAACTCAGAGTCTAATGGGAGACAGCATGCAAGCAGAACATTTATAAACCTATAGTGGTAGAGGGCTTTTCTCAAGAGGAGTTCTTTACACTGATGAAATCATGAGTCCTGATAATAAAATGAAAGTGTTCAGGTACTCTCCCCTTCCTCTTACTGGAACTCAGTGGCCTTGGAGTTTCTCACCAGACTCTCTGCTCACAAAGACTCAGGCTCCCTAGATCCCCTGGAGGGTGCCAGCTAATGCTAACAGCAGATCTGATATTGACAGGGAAAATTACTCTTTTTGTGCATTTATAGATTTTAAGGTAACCAAAACAGCTAATGCCTGACTACAGCCAAATGATAATTTTAAGTAGATTGATTTGAAAAACTTTGTTATTATTTTATAGGAAATGCAAGTAGGAAGAATTAACATTCCTGTGGAAAAATACAAAAGCTGATGGACAGTTCCTTATAACGGTTTTAAAATGTAAGCTTTGTCATCTAAATGGATAGCTTAATTTTTTTCAAGCTATTTTGAAACTTCATGACATGACAAAAATAAGCTGTTTGTTATTTGTCTTGTAAATAAATTCGATATTAAGACCCTTGGCCTGTTTTTTTTTTTTTTTTAATTCCTTGGTGCGCAAGTCACAATGTCAGTCTCTGACTGGGAGATTGTCTTTACTGAAAAGACGCTTTCCTATTTTAGTTATTTTTTAAAGTATTAGTTGAAGAGGTCAACGTGAATAAGAAATTCAATTAAACATTCCTTTAATTTATTGTTCTTTTTGGCTGCTCCTGCTTCTGTTAACCTGCTCTTTTTCAGTTACATTAAAAAATACTTTTTCAGTGTTCCCGTTAAACTTGTTTTCCTTATAACTTTAATGTCCTTTGTGGCTTGAAATAAAGAATCAATAATGAGCTTTCACATAACCTTTTAAAAGGGCAGCATTTTATTGTAACGTAAAAGCTAGCAGATTCAGGTGGGGAGTGTCAGTGATGTCTAAAGTTTCAAGGATTATGCTCCCTGCTTCCCTCAGTATCCAATGCTCTCTGCCTGTTGTATAATTTGTGCACCATATGAGAGTTTAACTATTATATTTAATTATTTTTAGGTGGAACTCAGCACCTCGTGTTGCACTTGGAAATTGAAGGTAGTCTAAGCAGTCCACTGCTGAGATACTGGCTTTAGTAATTAACCTTCAAGCTGTAGACTACTATATTCGAGCCCTGCTGAAATGCCTTAATGGTATCAATATTCACCCTTTGGATCCCTGTTAATTATGAGCTTTGGAATCCCTTTAAGGATTTGGATTTCATGGCAACAGAGTCTTTTCTGATTCTCTTTTTGGCCAAGTTTACATGAAGCCTTTTTACTTTTACATGTCAATCCAATTTCTTATCCGAAGAAGCAGTTTAAATACTAACATAGCTTTTTGTCCATATGCCTTGACCTTTAGAATTGAACTTCAGTTTATAGAATTCCTTGTGAAGTGTTATCTCTAAATTGCTCTCTACAAACTTCAACTTCCTGAGACACATCATGGGATTTTAAGAACATTCTAGCTGTTGCACCGTAAAGATTATCCTGATCAGCATTCATTTTGTGGATGAGAAAACAGGCCCATAGATGTTTAGTAACTTTTCCAGGAGAAAGAGGACCTGAACTCAGATCCAGGCTTCTTTCCCTTAGCACAGTCAACATGGTCTTCATGTAACAGCCCAATAATTTTTCTTTTTTCCAATTACCTACAGAGTTTAGTGTAGCACAGTACAAGTGTAGAGTAGTGGAGAGAACATTTATTTGTAGTAGAATGGGAAAGAATGATTTTGCAACTAAATAGTTAATACTTTTTTGGGAAATACAAAGTCCTCAGGCTAATTATGCCAATGATTCTAGCACTAGGGAGGAGGAGAGCTGTATCAAAGGATTCCACAAATCATTTAAATCTTATTTTGGAATGTGATTTTATGCTCTTAATTAGAACTGGATGTGACTAATGCCTTATCAGAATTCCTAAGACAACTTGGTATATATGTAGAGTAGTAAGAGTGTTGGATTCTGGAAGAGATGTTTGAAGCTAGGCAAGCCGTTTCACCCTAAGACTGGAAGAAGAGTACTTTATAAACTTTAAAGTATTATGTAAATGTGAGCTGCTGTAGTGCAGCCCAGAAGAAAACCTCCCTTTTTTCTAAGGTTACTCTTGTCTAGAGGGAGCCAGGCGGTGAAGGGATAGAGTGCTGGGCCTATAATCAGTAAGACCCGAGTTCAAATGTGGTCTCAGACATTTGCTAGCTGTGTGACCTGGGCAAGTCACTTAACTTCTGTTTGCCTCAGTTTCCTCAACTATAAAATCAGGACAATAATAATAGCACCTGCCTCCTAGGGTTGTTGTGAGGACCAAATGAAATAATTTTTGTAATCAGAAGTGGGTTGGATTCAGTCAAAGCGCCATACTTGGGAACTTAGAGGGCCACATGTGACCTTGAGTACACTCCTTAGAATTTAGATACTGTATAAATGTGCGCTCTCTCTCTCTCTCTCTCCCCCCCTTCCTCCCCCTCCCTCCCCCCTCCCCCCTCCCTCTCTCCCTTCCCCCCCCTTCCCACCCCTGCCCCCACCCCCCAAAAGTTCTCTTTTGCCATCTTAGAAGTTTTCTTGGGCAGGGTATTTCACTTAATTGGCTTAGATGGCCTTTCCTTTTAGCATCTGTTGGGCCACATTTTTCTGGCAGAGGTAAAAGTTAACAGATGATGAGAGCCTAAGTTGTTCAATAGACAGGAATGTCCCTCTCTTGTCTTTGTACCCCTAGCACTTGGTATAGTGCCTGTCATACTTTTATTTTTGTCAAGACTTGTGATTACATCAGGGAAGATTGATCTTGGTGAAGAAATTTGCAGATCTGGCAACTATCCATCATGTATAGTCTTCAGAAGTTCTCTGAGGGGCAGTGGAAAGAGCACTGGCCCTGAAGTCAGGAACACATGAGTTCAAATCCGGCGTCAAACCAAACACTTGACACATACTAGCTGTGTGACCTTGGGCAAGTCACTGAACCCCGATTGCCTCACAGAAAAAAAAAAAGAAGAAATTGTCTGAGCCACTGAAAAATTAGCAGCTTGCTCAGGGTCATGCACTAAGATGTTTGAGACCAGACTTAAGCACGAGTTGTCTTGATGCAGACCAGCCCCCTTCAAAACTCTGTTTCACTTTGCACATAGTAGATCCTAAATAAATGAGTATTGAATAGTATATCAGCAGTGA